ATTTGATCTTCATGAGTCAAGTCAAGTCACAGTTGATCTACATGAGTCCAGTCAAGTCACAGTTGATCTTCATGAGTCAAGTCAAGTCACAGTTGATCGTCATGGGTCAAGTCAAGTCACAGCTGATCTTCATGAGTCAAGTCAAGTCACAGTTGATCTTGTCTGTAGCATTTCCCATATGGGGGATTACCTTTTGGTGTGTTTGGGCTGCATACACCACCACAGAACCTCCCAAGGTGGCGGCGTTCACTATGGTGTCTCCAGAGGTGGCGGCTGATGCTGCAGAACCTCCTGAGATAGTGGCGCTCACTGCTGTGTTCCCCGAAGAGATGGTGTCTGCTGCAGTTTCTCCAGAGGTAGCGGCGTATGCTTCAGAACCTCCCGAGGCGGCAGTGCTCGCTTCAGCTCCTTGCATAGTGGTGGCGCCCAGCAATGCACTTTCAGCCCATCATGTCGTGGTCGAAGGAACCATTGCTGAACTTTGTATATGTCCTGTTAAGGAGAATACTAATGAACTCTCCCTTTTTCTTGATGGTACGGCTGTAGAACCTCCAGAGGTGGCGGCATCCACTACAGAACCTCCAGAGGTGTCAGTGGTATCCACTTATGAACTCTCGTCCTGTCCTGTTCTGGCCAAGGAGGCCATCTATGAACTCTCTGCCTGTCCCGTCACGGCTATGGAGGCTGTCTATGATCCCTTTGCCAGTCCTGTATTGGCTATGGAGACCGTCTGTGAACTCACTTCCTGTCCTGTAACGGCTATGGAGGCCATTAGTGAATCCGCTGCCTGCCCTGTTAGGGCTAAGGAGGCCAATTATAGACTTTTGTCCTTTCCCGTCCCAGCCAAGGACGCTGTCTCTGAATTTCCTGACTGTTCTGTTTCCCCAAATGTGTCTGCTGAACTGTCAACTTGTCCAGTATCCCAGAGTTTGTTTGATTTCACTGTCTGTCCAGTTCCAATCAAGGAACCTGTTATCATTTGCATAATTATACCTGTGCATCATTTTTCCAGTTATGAGCCCAGAAAATATAAATGCACTCCATGTCTGTCTCGTAAACCCCGTCAGTGCTCTAGAGACCATTCATGAACTGTCTGCTTGTTCTGTTTCCCCAAATGTGTCTGCTGAACTGTCTGCCTTGACAGTCCTAATCTGTAAGCCTGTTTATGAACTGTCTTCCTGTTCAGTTTCAGTCAATAAGCCAGACTTTGAATTATCTGTCTGCCCAATCTTGAGTAATATATCTGAACTTTCTGTCAGTCCTGTTTCAGTTACTGATCTTGGTTATGAAATGTCTACCAGTCCAATTTCAGTCAATACATCCGGTTTTGAACTGTTTGCCTGTCTTAGGTCTGCTCTTGAATCTAATTGTGAACTGTCAACCCACTCAGTTTTTGCCATTGCCCCCAACTTTGAACTGTCTGTCTGTCCAGCCACTCTCAAGGAGACCAACACTGAACTTTTAGCACTGTCAGTCATGCCCAAAGAGACCGTTAATAAGGCCACTGTATTTCCTGCCTCAGTCCTTGAGAACGTAAATGCACTGTCTGTCTCCTGTGTTACAGTTTTCCCTAGGCCCCAGTCCCTGCCATGGGTTCCTGATCACTCTCATGCTCTGGTGGGCCAAAGCTCCGTCTGCTCTGTCGTGGTGGTCTTCGGCTACGCTCTGCTGGTCTTCTGATCCGTCTACTCCGGCTTGGTGGTCTTCTGCTCTGTCTGCTCCGCCGTGGTGGTTTTCTGCTCCATCTGCTCTTCCGTGATGGTTTTTTCCTCCGTTTGCTCCGGCCTGGTGGTCTTCTACTCTCTCTGCTCCTCCGTGGTGGTCTTCTGCTCCGTCTGCTCCTCCGTGATGGTCTCTTGCTCCGTCTGCTCTGGCCTGGTGTTCTTATGCTCCTCCGTGGTGCGTTAATAAGGCCACTGTATTTCCTGCCTCAGTCCTTGAGAACGTAAATGCACTGTCTGTCTCCTGTGTTACAGTTTTCCCTAGGCCCCAGTCCCTGCCATGGGTTCCTGATCACTCTCATGCTCTGGTGGGCCAAAGATCTGGCCCTCCATCCCTCCCCCTGTTCCGCCTCCGCTCCACCACCCTCCTGGATTTTACTGTTTTAGGAGCATCTGGAAGCTGCTCCTTGGGGGGGGGGGGGGCTATGTCACGAATCCTGTCCATGGACTTCCGTCCGATTGCCACCAGAGGTCACCCTTTCCGTTAGATTGACTCCCACACTACACAAACTGTTACATGTCATCCCAGACTACATTTCCCATCATCCATTGCACTGATTGTACACGCAGCTGCAGCCAATCACACACCCTACATAAGCCATGGACTTCCTCTCTCTCACTGCTCAGTATTGTTTGTGTATATCGCTCTCCTAGTGGTAGCACATTACGGAGCCAGGTTTCTTTTCTAGTTCTTAGTTCCTAGTCATAGTCTTGTCTTGCCTGCTTTCCCGTGTTACCTGATTCTTGCCTGTTTATCTTGGATTAACCCTTTGCCTGCTGTTTCGGACTGTGTTGACTCACGCCCGTTTTGGATTACTCTTTTGTCTTGTCCTCAATATAACTGTTTGCCATTTTCAGAACCTTGCCTATTTTATGACCACGCCTTTAAATAAAAGCTTTGCAGATGGATTCACACATCTCACGTCTCGTTCGCCCCGTAACACCTTGTGTGTGTAAGCACACTTGGCAATAAAGCTCTTTCTTATTCTGACTCTGATTCATGATAAGAACCAAGCAATCAGAACATGACATATGCAACTAAGGAACTAATCGGAACAAGACAAAAGAACAAGAGGGCCACATTGCAAGATCACATGACTAAAAAGATCCATGACAAGGCAAAATAACAAAATAAAAGACATGAAAACAATGAACAATAAACAAAACCCAAAACAAGTGTGACATAGGTAGCTAATTTTACTGTCATGCACTGTCCTCTATTGTTCAGAAATGCCATTCCAATAAACCTGTTGTTATTAGTTTTAATAGGATATGGCTGCAGTTTAGACCACATGTTGGTCATAAACAAATAGTTTATCCATTCCCATAGTCCACAATTCTTTCTTCATACCTGCCAAGCTAGATCCAGCTTTTCATCTGTGGCCTGTTGCATGAAGCTGGCTGAACAAACTCAGATTTTCAGAGCAGGTTTAGAGTTGTCAAAACCAAACAAATCCAACCTGGTTTAGATTAGGATCGGCGGGCTCACAAAGCTTGATATAAACATTCTCTGTCAACTCCGAGTTTGAACCAGAGTTTGTGATTAACTCTGGAGCGCGTGCACCTGAAAGTGTGCAGCAAACAGCCAATCACACGGAACATGGATAGCATTGGTTTGATTCACTTCTCGCGAGAGCTGGCACAATTCAGTTCTCTGCTGATGCTTAAGAGATGTCGTTATTAAAAATATAATGAATTTAAATGCATTTACAAGGCAGGAATAAACACTGTTTCTGCAGCAAAAGTTTGAGAAGGCAGCAGAAAGAAAAGACATGACTATGCAAAGGAATCAAATGAATTTAATTATTTATATATAGTTTTACACAGAGCTCAAAAGGAAAACATATAAGTTTAGCCATTTTAATAGTTGGATACATTAAAGTTTATACACACAAAACAAAACAAAAGCACATGGCCAGCAAAACACAATCACCAGCCATGTGCAAAACAAGACCCGAACACGCAACTAATGAGAATACGCATAAGCCGCGTGTTCACACAAGACCTGACAACATGAAAGCACACAGCCAATGAAAAACACAAGCTGCGTGCAACACAGCACAAGACATAATATGAATGCAGGCAGCCGATAAAAACATGAACTGCGTGCAACAACATAAGACAACCGTAAAGCACGCGGCTGAACACGAACCGCACAAAACAATGCAATAAACGCGGACAGAAGAGCGCACAGCCTGAGCGAATTCGAGACTGCCCGCTCCCACAACAAGACAAAACATAGAGCACGAGAATCCGAACCCCGACACTAAACCGAAACTCAACAAGACATGAGTGCCGGGATCCGAACACCACGCTCCAACATGAAACAGGGAAACAGGACATGCAGACGAGAGCGCATGGCTCAAGCACACTCGAAGCCGTACGCTCACATGAAAATAACAACATGACGGGAGTGACGGGGGCTCTGTCACAAAACCATGAATAAACTAGTTCGAGGTGACAGAACCCTGACACTGAATTATAAACATTTATAATTGCTATACTATAAATATAATAAATAAATAAGTAGCAGCAAAGGTCAAGCAATTTTGTCTCTAAAATTCTTTGACTGTAAGCTGATTTAATTTGGAGCTAAAGATACGGGGGAGTGGCTTCATTGCATCAGATATGTCACTTTGCTCACAGCTGATTGGTCCAGTTTGGAGAATAGAAACCAGAATAAAACCTGCTCCGGAGCAGGGTAGCTGTGTAGCGTAAGTTACCATGGTGATGAAACACGTTCAAAACCAACCCAAACTCAAGAGTTTGCTCAAACTAAACGCGAACTTACCTGGGTAAAAACCCAAACCGGCTTTGTGCAACAGGCCTCTGTTGTCTCAGAAGGAATTAAAATGTGTTTTATTTTATATATTTATGTATGTATGTATTTATTTATTTATTTATTTTTACCCTTTGAAAATTATTTAGAGTTTGACATCCCATCTTTTTTCCATCCCATCCTTCCCTATTCAGGGATGGATGAAGGAGTGCATTAGTATTAACTCATATTTGGAGTGTCTCCTGAACTGAATATTATTATTTTGAACTGAATATTATTATTTTTATATATCTCTAACCACTCTCTTACTCATCAGTAAAAACTGATTGGGAAAAAAAAAAACAGGAACAGCAATCTCTGATAAAATCTGGCATTCTTTATGTGAGAAAATGTATAAAAACTCTGTGAGACAATAATTGTTACTACATTTAAAGCATTTCAGTCTGTAAAATTATTCTGCACTTGACTCCGCAAACTGGGAATACAGAAACTCTTCTTACCTTTCTATCAGGCCAGTTGTACTGGGCAAAGACAGCGTCATATGTTTCCACAGCTCCATCCGTCACCAACATGATGGCTTGACTGCACACACTGCCTCGGCCCGTCTCATTAAACTGAACACACATACATATTACTTAATAAGAGGTTACAATAAATTAGTGCATGGCAACATGGCAATTAGCAGTAATAGCTAATCCAATACACTTAATTTGTTTTTACACTTAATTTTTCACACAGTGTCCTAACTTTGTAGTGGTGTCTGAATTCAATTTTTAAAATTGAATTTAAATTTAACATTTTAATTAAATTTATAAAATTGCATCCTTAAATTTATTCACTCATTCATACCCACAATGATTAAGAGTGTACATTGGATGTACACTTGCCTTTTATGGTTTTGGTCTGTTTTCTGTTTAGGGTCATGTATTTTGTCTATTCAGTTTCCTGTATATTTGTAGTCTAGTTGTAGTTTTTCTGTTGATTACCCTATCATTGATTCCAGGTGTGTCTTGTTTGCTCATTTGTGTCAGCCATTATATACCCCTGTGTTTTCTGTCTTGGTTATTGAGTCTTGTCCATGTATTGACTTGGACGAGGAGTTGTGTCACATAAAAGAATGGTCTGATTTCCTAATGTTGTACAGTGCAAACCTGCAAAACCTGGCCATTGTTGAAATGAGAGTGGTAAAGCTTATCTGGTCATCAAACATTTTGCTCATCAACCTCCACCCGATCTGCATCAGAAGACACACTGCACATACTTTTTCATTTCTCTAGCTTGTTTCTAGCTTGCATTCTAATAAAGCATAGTACATTATGCATAGTGACATTGTACATTATGGATATTGTTGGCTCTTGCACACCTATTTTCACATTTTTTGGATAAAAGCATTGCTTCATTGCACAAGCAAATTGTTTATTTTTAGTAGTAGTAGTAGTAGTAGTATGTGTAACGTAGTAACATGTTAAAATTTTTTGACCTGAGCAATTACATTTGTGACGAGTGGGGTGGTGCTGAGAGCCGTTGGAGCGGAGCGAGTATCGGTTTTGCTTGTATCTGTTTAGTAAATAGAGAGAAACTGCAAATTTAAAGCATTGCTTCATTGCACAAGCAATTTGTTTATTTTTAGTAGTAGTAGTAGTAGTAGTAGTAGTATGTGTATCGTAGTAACATGTTAAAATTTTTTGACCTGAGCAATTACATTTGTGACGAGTGGGGTGGTGCTGAGAGCCGTTGGAGCGGAGCGAGTATCGGTTTTGCTTGTATCTGTTTAGTAAATAGAGAGAAACTGCAAATTTAAATCTGCTTCTGATTTTTTTATTATTATTTTTTGGTCAATGTTTAAAAGTTAACTAGCATATAGATTACTTTAAAGCTAGTAGATATGCACAAAACCTGCAAAACTCTAATTGATTTAATGTCTTTATAGCAAACATTTGGCCTTGACAAATGACAAAAAGTCAACAGATGTACAAAAATTGTCATGCTGAGCGGGGTTTGGTATGTGATGAAATAACATATTTCTATAGCAAATATACATCGCCATACTAGAAAAAATTATAAATTGAGACTTTTCTATTTCACTGCACTGTCTCACATTTTTTAAAAGCACAAAAGCCTGTCAACAACTCAATCATTCAGCTCACTCCAGTTATAAAGGGTTAGTTCACCAAAAAAAGAAAATTCTGCCATTGTATCTCACACTCAAGTTGTTCTAAACTCATAAGACTGTGGTTCATCTTCAAACACAAATTAGGATATTTTAATGAAATCTGAAATATTTCTGCATTGTCTAGGTAACCAAAAGTTTATAATATAAAGAGATTGTATCTTTTACACAAGACTTGGATTAAACTGCTTGGTTCATATGGATTTGTTTTATGACACCTTTAGGCCCTTTCTGGATCCTCAAAGTTTTGGTTACCTGGAGTTTTAATGGAGGGACAGAAACATCACAGTCATGCCAGACTCTCCCTTTCTCACCCAGCCATCATAAGCACCAGGATACTAACTACACATGCCTGTCACTCATCAGCGCTCATCACCAGCACTATAAAGCACACACACACACACACACACACCATCAAAAGTTGTATGACCTCATCTAGAAAAATACGGGCTTTCTTACCTGCATACTTACCTTGGAAAAACTACCGGTATCCTCTTCCTAATTTCTGCATCAAAAGTTGTATGACCTCATCTAGAAAAATACGGGCTTTCTTACCTGGATACTTACCTTGGAAAAACTACCGGTATCCTCTTCCTAATTTCTGTTCCAAGTCAGTCCAAAGTCATCATCCAGTAATCCAAGTCTTCTCTAAGTCTTCTAAGTCAACTCTAAATTGATTGAATATCATCTCAGGGTCTTCAAGGTCTTCTCTTCGTCTCATCTGTCCTCCAGTGTGTTCCCAAAATCCAGTAAGACAAATCCTAGCACCATTATTCAAGTCACCACAGTCACTGCACACTATAAAGTTATACTCACCTGTTAGGTTATGTTCATGCCACTTTCAATAAACTTACCACCATTTGTTTCACATTCTGTGTTATCATCTTTGAGTCTGTGCCATATTGTGATAGAAGGCCAGACCTAAAAGATTAACCTGGCAGGAACCAACCCAAATGATCCATTGAAGGAACTTGTTGATGTATTACAACATACTCTCACCTCACCTCTTGTGTTTCTACCCAGACACCTAGAACCACAGTCACTCTTCCTGGTCCTTCTTTGTCACCGGTGTACACTATGACCAATCCAGCTCCCTACTCTCGCTCCAGAGAGGGCTGCAAGGTCTTTCTTCTCCACTGCTCACTTGCCCCTCGAGATGCAGCTGCAGCGATTCCACACTGAGAGGGCTAAGATGTCTTTGATTATTTCCTTACTAATTGGAAGAGCTCTCCAATGGGAAGAGATCATTTGGAACCATCCAGCTGGTGATATGTCTGTGAGTGAACAGCTATTCAGGTTATGCCAAGGCAAAGATTTCTCAGCTCAATGCTTCTAGTGGATGGAATGAGCCAGTGTTACCATCATCAAGGTTTCACTCTGGTGCTGTGGCTGTAACTTCATCAGCTCCTCCAGATCCAGCAGTAGAGGCCATGTAATTTGATGCCTTTCTCCTATCCCTTGCTGAATGTCTCTGCCAGCTGGCCCAGCATTTATGTCTGTAATGCAATGTTGAGGGACAAGTGAAGTCAGCATGTCCCATCCTCCTTCCTCGTCCCATGGTGAGTTAGGTGTCAAGCCATTAACTTCCACTCTGATTTTTACTGCCTCTGATGTGTCTCTTACAGTTAATACTCTCCTCAACTCTAGGTCAACTGGAAACATCATCTTGGGAATGCTGCCATCAACTCAAGCACAGAAAAGAAGTCTGTACATCCATATATACAATCCAATTTTCCATAACTGGAAAAGCACTAGGTAGGGGCACCATCAAGTATTTCATTGGTCCAGTCTAATACATCCTTTGTGGCCAAAAAGGATGGAGGCTTGAGGCCTTGCACTGATTACTGGTCACTGAACAAAATTACAGTCAAATATCATTATCCACTTCTCTTTGTTCTGGCTACCTTGGAACTGTTGCATAGAGTGACAATATTCATCACACTTAACCTGCACAGTGCTTGCAACCTGATCTGGATCCAGAGTGAGGACAAGTGGAAGACCACCTTCATTACACCTACTGGCCACTATGAACAAAGAGTGATGCTGTATGATCTGGTCAACACCCCCTCCGTGTTTCAAGGGTTCATGAACGAGGTATTCCGGGAGTACCTTTAGTGTCTTATCATGGTTTACGTTGATGACATCTTTGTGTACTCCCAGAATGAACCAGAACTTCGCCACTTGAAGGAGCTCGTCCTGGTCAAGCTGAGAAAACACTATCTACCATACTGTGCCTAGGCCATTAGTATTTTTACCAAAAAAATGTTAAGCTTTTAAGCTTTTTTCTATCTTTTGCTATAGTGTGTCAGCAATAAATATCAGTTTAATTTACAGAACTGATCTCACCACCATCAAGTCTGTATCCCTTACTTGAGACATTCAGTTCAGTTCATGGAGTCTCCTAATGAGCTGATGATCTGAATTAGGTGTGTCAAATAAGAGAGACATGCAAAATGTGCAGAGCGGGTGGTCCCCACGACTAGGATTATAAACCACTGAACTAAATCAAATCAACATTTCTTGTGACCACCCTTTGCATTTAAAACAGCTTTTTTTTCATATTTTTTCAGGTAGTTTGTAGGAAGGTTTCTTCATGTGCCTTGGAGATGTTGTCACAGTTTTGGATTTAGTATGATTCGATGATGGCGAGATCAGATCTCTGTGTGGAGCATATTGGCTGTTGACAGACTTCTTGTGCATACAAAAATCTCACTGGATTACAGTTCATGGCAAAATGAATGTTTGGAAATGTAAACTGATATTTCCTACTGACACGCTACAGCAAAAGATAGAAATAACTGACTTAAAACCATTTTTGCTCGTGAAAATACCAATGGCCTAAGACTTTTGCACAGTTCTGTATATCTCAAAGCTGAAAAGTGTTCATTCTATCAGTCCTCCACCCAGTTCCTAGAATATGTCATCAGTACCGATAGTATCAAGATGTATGAAGATATGGTTGAAGCATTCAACCATGGTTGAATAATGGTTAAGTCATGGCCAGAACCATCTACAATCAAAAAACTCCAACACTTTCTCCAATTTACAAACTTGAACCATTGATTCATTTAGAACTACAGTCAGATCACAGCTCCTTTAACATCACTCCTAAAGAAAATGCCCAGATCTCTGTCCTGGTCACCCGAGGCCACCCATGCCATTCAACGACTGAAGGAGCCTTCACGTCCACTTCTCTGCTTAAACCATGATCCAGATATCAATTCATTGTCGATGTTGATGCTTCTACAACAGGCATGGGTACTGTCCTCTCTGAGCAGTAGGGGAATCGAGCCCATCTTCATCCATGTGCTTACTTCTCCAAGAAACTCACCCATGCAGAGCACAATTATTACACCGGAAACCGAGAGCTCCTAGAGATCAAACTGGCTCTCATATATTTCAATATGTCTCAGTTTTTCAGAAAGTCAGCGTATAAAAACAGGGTTTTTTTTCCTTCGTTTTTTTTTATATATGATCTTTAGTGTTCTGCAGAAGAAGAAATTCATATAGATTTCAAACAATATGAGTCAATAATGACACATTTTTATTTTGGGGTGATCAGTCCCTGAATCTGCATGTAGATTCCAGCAACCCACCACTCAGCTGCGCCACTGTTTATAGAATTTTCCTGTACTTTTTTTCTTATTTGAGTCTATTTCTATAAAGATACTTTTACTTGGGACAGTTGGATACTTTATATTTGATAGCCCTAAACTGTGTAATAAATGTTCAGTTCTCAGCCTCAGTTGACAGTAATTGTTGCTTCTAAAAAACTCCAACTCTGTATAGCAGTTGGTAACACAATGTGCGCTAGGTACATTTTATTTGCATAGTTCCCAACATTTCTGAGGATATAAGTTTACAGAAAACCACCTAAATAAAAGCTTTAAAAGTGAAGAATTTAATATATAAATATTATTGTAAATTTTTGTCAAATAAAATTATTACGATTAATAATATTACAATTATAAATAATTATAATTACAATTAACAGTTATAATAAAATGTGTATAATTATCGATTATTTATTGTATTATGACAATTGTAATTTATGAAAGTAATATATTTATTTAATTCATTATAAAATATTGTGTTTATTGTGGGTGGTGTGAGAGTGAAAGTTTGTTCTCCCTGGTTGTTACTGTAATACATTAAACAAGTACTGTTTAATAAAGAGGAGAAAACTAGCAACTCTTTACTTACAGTCTGTTATATACATCCACACAAAAGTACAGCTTACATAATTGTACATAATTTGTACATACAATAATTATGTCAATAGAAAAAAATGTTGAATTAGCTTTTAAAGGGGTGGTTGACAGTTTTTTTTCTAGGCTTGATTGTGTTTATGGGGTGCAGTCTAACACGTGTTAATGCTTCATTTAAAAAAATAACACACACACATTATTTTTTCACATAATTTACCTTTATTCCACACCGCTCTGTCCCTTCTCTGATAAACGCTCTGATTTCCTGTTTTTATGATGCCCCTCCCTCAGAAATACACGATGGGCTCAGATTGGTCAGCTGGCCCAGTGTGTTGTGAATGTGATTGGCTAAACTGCTAGTGCGCGTCTAATCGAGTGACGCGAGGAACAGGATTAAGAACCGCTGCCTTAGAACATTGATTTTGTGAATCCATTAGAATTGTAGAAGATAGAATTGCGATTCATATATGAATAGATTTTTTCGTGCACCCCTATTTTTGACGGCATGGCAACAACTCTTCGGCCGTTTCTCAATATGCGTCCTTGTCTGTACTTGTGTTCTTGTGGACTTGTGAACTGTCATCAGTCGTCACCCAAGTACTGTTCCAATTCAAAGTTCACATCTAGCCAAGTACAGTTCAAATCCCCGGATGTGTTCTTGCTCCACCCCTTTTATCAAGGATGCATCCAGAGGTGACTTGTGCGAACTTGAGGCAGCCAGGTATCCCAGAATGCATTTCGCACCAACCAGCGAGCGTTAATGGCGGATTAGAAAACCTGCATAATTTTCAAAATATTACTGTTATTGTGTCATGAAATGCAGTTGTAAGAGTATTTCGGGCGAGAATGTAGTTGTTTAAAACTCAAATCTGTGGTTTATTTATAAAGATAGCGCCTATTTGAAAATTAGCTTCGCCGATTTCGGAGACCTGAGCTCCACGTGATCAGCGGGCGCTCAGTGCTCATGTATCCACCGAGAGCAGTCTCACCTTGGCTAGTCCCTAACAAATTAACTCTGTAGTCAGAGCCAGTTTTTTGCAGCTTAAGGTGCTTCGCAAGCTGAAAAGTTTTCTCAGTTTTAATGATTTAGAGGTTGTTATTCATGCATTCATTTCAACTAGGCTGGATTACTGTAACGCTCTTTATGCTGGTTAGTTTTATTGTAATGCGTGTACGCGTTGCATGCACATTTTTGTTGCTATTAATATTTTAAATGAAACCGAAAAGAGACAATGCTGTTTGACATATTATTTCATTTCACTATAATGTATGTACGTTCCCTGAACTAAATTTTTGCAGCTATTAATATGTTTAAAAGAAAACGAAAAGAGGCAGTGGTGTTTGATATCATATTTCATCGTATTGTATACATACAGTGAAGATAACCGGAGTACCCAAGGCGAGCTGACTGACGTTATCAAGTACGCTGCTGTTCCATTTGCAGAATTACCGGACTTGCGAACTTTGCGTACTTGGAATTGAGAAACGGCCTTCCTCTTCTCTAAAGCAGATGGCCTCGCCCCTTTGTTGTGTGTTCCTGGGGGCGGGGTTTATGTAAATTTCAGGGTTTGTAATGTCACAAACCTGGGAAGGAGCTTGTTGTAGTCCCTACGAGCCATTTTTGTAGGCATTAAACTGCCATAATTTTAACAGATGATATCTTTGTTTGCATTGAACTTTCAGCGTCGTAACTTTGCAGATATTGTTTATGCTCAAACAGCAATATTACACACTAACTAACGTTAAAAAAGCAATCAACCACCCCTTTAAATTGTGAAAGTAATATTAACTTTTTGCCAGGCTTTCATGCATAAACACATGAGATCTATCGAGCTATGTACCACATGGTTACTTCTGATTTTTAGGGGAGTTATAGAGGAAATGACCTCAATATGCCCACAAATATGGGTGTATGGATGTGGACTCACATTACTGAGAAGTTCAAAGGCCTCAGTCAGAGCCACGTCCAGCATGCCTATCCCTTTAGCAAAGAGCTTATCAAGATGGTCACGGAAATGCTATGGAGAAAAACACAAACACAACCTAGCAGTAAGAGATGTCATGCTGATGTGGATTGTGCATCATTTTTTTAAGTACAAATTTTCTATGTGTCAGATAAGTCTTGGCCAGCAACACTTCACATTCATTAAAAAGTAACAATTTGTTAGAAAAGCATTTGGTCAGACTCTAACATACTGTAGTTCATACTCTGGTTTTCACTTGACTCTCACCAAGTTGATGTCATGCTGTCCTTCTTACTGCACTGAAAAACTTTTAAAAGCCTTTTTTATCCAGATAACCTTCAAAGGGCTGGTTATAAGGTGCTCAAAATCATTCATAAAAATAGATGACAGTAGTTTTTTCTCCCAGCCTGTAGTTTTCAGCTTGTCTACATGACCCTGACAATGACTCCTGTCTCCTGTCTGCCTCTGATACTGAGCTTTGTTTTGCCCTCTGGACTCTGGTCATTAGTCTCCCTGCCCTTCTGGTTCTGAGCCTTGACTTTGTCTCCTGCTTCCTCTGTCCTTGTCCATCCGATACTTTTACCACCTGTCATGAGCTTCACAAAAGCTATTTTGAGTTTATCCCATTATTGAAATCTCTTTTGCCAAACCTGACACTGACCAGTGGACAACACAGTTAGTTATAGTTTACATACAGGTATATCAGAAAATGTACTTACATCTTTGTTGGTAACGTCAGCTTGAACTAATGTTCCGTTCAGACACGGCTCCACATAATGCAGCTCCTCATTGTACTGCCACACACAAAATAAATACATCAAGCAAGACCAGTATAGGGATAGAATTGTTTTGTATTTACAAATACATATATTATGATCCACAAATAAATGGAAAGAGATTCACAAAAATTGAACAAATTCTCAAATAAACACAACAACATCCACAAATACATGTTAGGAGTTCCACAAAAATGGATTAGTATTAAACAGGATCCTGGGGAGTCCACAGAAGATATTTGTATGATCGACCCTGGGAAAGGATGCAAGTTCTTCAGCAGGCAAAATAGCTCTAAAATTTCAAATCTTCATCATGATGTAGTGTATTTCTGTGGGGATGAGACCATTGTACCAGTTGCACTCAGACGTTTTAAATAATACTGAACATGAAAATGAAAATCACTTGCAGATCACTGTATTTTGTTATAACCATTCAGAGTGAACTGGGAAACTTAGTGGTAAGAAAAAAAGTGTTTCTCCAATTATTTCATTTTTAACCACTGCTGCATGATGTGATGTTGTTTATGTGTGTGCTATAGAGACAGCAATATTACAAGATATAATTTTTATTTAAAAAAAAATCAATCATTCAATACATTTGCACATAGGATTTTTCCAGATGCATAGGACAAAACACACATTCTTAAATGGTCTGGTCTAAAGCAGCAGTATTCTACAGCAATCAAAGGTGACTACTACAGAGCTCGCCGTACAGTATTAGATGATGAATATGAAGAAACGCCAGCGGTAAGACAGTGTTTGGGAATTTCACTTTGGCAGGCATCATTTCATGGTCGATTAATTTAATGTGCACTGTGGAATGAAAACCCTCTGTCATCACTTACATAAGTGAAAAACGTACTTGTATGATTAAAAACATCTTAATAAAGTTCCTTACATTTACATGTAACTGTGTTTAGAGGAGCGGATGTGTTTCTGCAGAACGTCTCGGTTACATATGGTAACCCTCGTTCCCTGAAAGAGGGAACGGAGACGTACCGACTGAAAGGGAACATTCTACCACTGGCCTGTTAACATTTAGCTAACCAATGCTGACTAAAAAGTGCATCTAATACAACATTAAAGGAAGTTTACCCCAAAAAAACAAGAACATTTGCTGTTATCTTACTCACCATCAAGCCATTCAAGATTTTAGGTTACTTTTTTTCTTCAGTAGAACAGTAAAGAAGATTTTTAGCTGAAACTGTGCTTCTTGGTGATTCATAGAATGCAATTAAGTGGCTGCCCGTTTTGGAGAATAAAAAAAGGGCGCATTTAGCAAAAACACAAAATTAATACCTCTGGCTCCTGACAATATATAAAAGTCTGTGCAAGACATTGATTATTATTTACAACATTATTACCCATAACCCATAGCCTTAGGCAAACGGTCTGCAGTTCTGACTTGGACCAAAGAACTGACAAGCTACTGATACAGCCATGCATGAACTGAGCACTTGAATAAAGGGGCGAAAAAACTTTTTATGGTTTCTCATGGTTTATGTAAAAAGATGAGTTAAGACTAAATTTATTCACCTTATATGCTTTAAAATCTATTTCACATCATTATTGAGGGCTTTACAAAAACGTGTTAGGACTCTGGTTTGATCTTTCTCTCTTTTGTTTTTGTTTTCCTTCTGCATGTAGTGGCCATTCTCAGGTGATCACGCTCTTCAATCAATGCAGCGCTCATGCCATCTCGCAGCTGTTTATTATTTCCTCCCTGATTACTCTGCTATTTCATCTTCTGCGTTCTTCCTTTTGTTGCCAGTGTGTTTTGTGTTCTTACGCTTCACACACCTCTTGCTGTTTATTTCATTAGTTTGTCGGTCTTGTGTGTTGCTCTCTTTTTGTCCCTGTCATCTGCCCAGTTATCCCTTTGGAATTTTGGACTGTCTGTATTTTCTGGTCAATGGACTGCGCAACTGCTTAAGGCTTTTGTTCAAATAAACCTGTATTTAAGCATCTCTCTGCTTTTGGATCCTTCATTACAGTAAACCTAATAGAACTGTTGAATTGGCTATTTAAACCTTGAACCAGCTTGTGGTAAAGAATCAGACTTCCCTGTTTGCCTGAGGCTATGGAATACAGGTAATGTTGTAAATAATTTTCAGTTTCTTGCACAGACCATCTTCTTAAGACAACAATATCATCAGGAGCCACTGGTATTAATTTTGTATTGCCTGTATATGCTTTTTTCTTAACGCTCAATTGTCGATAGCCGCTGACTTGCATTTTAGAAATCACTAAGGACCATGATTTCAGCTAAAAAATGTCTTTACTGTTCTACCGAAGACAAAAAGTCACCCACATCTTGGATAGCCTGAGGGTGAGTAAATTAACAGCTGATTTTCATTTTTGGGCGAACTATCCCTTTTAAGTTTAAATAGCTGGATAACTTACAGTATTAGGAACAAATTCAATAAAAATTATTTGTTGGATCCTCAAATGGTGCCATCTGATTGATTCAGCCTATGTCATCAAAATCTTAGTGATGTCCGGTTCGTGAACGAATCATTCTTTTTAACCGGTTCTTAGTAAACCGGTCGAACCAGTTCACCAAATCGAACTGAATCGTTTGAAACGGTTCGCATCTCCAGTAAGCACTAAACCACAAATTACTTAAGTTATTCACTTTAACATGCCTGACACTCCCTCTGACTCGAAATAAACCAATATCCTGTTATTCAGCTACTCAAACAGTACACCGACTGAACTGCTGTGAAAAGAGAACTACTGATGAGCACGAGTAGAGCATGCAGCTGATAGAGCGGTTAGAGCGGTTCTTGGTACACTGAACCGAGAACCGTTTCTTTCGGACACGTCCGATATGAGAACCGATGAGCTGATGATACTGCACATGCGTGATTCAGCGTGACACTACCAAACAGTACATGATTGCCTACAATGACTGACTTGACACAGCACGTCTGAACCAGTTCTTTTGGACAACTGATGCTATGAGGGGCGCAAAGTAAGTTTATTTAATAACAAATAAATCGTAATGGATTATGCATAGTAAGTGGATCATTGTTTCTGCACTGATGAGGACTAATTTATTCACTTTATATCTTTAAGACTTGTAAAAAAAATCCTCGTTTGCATATCTGGCTGTACCTGTATTTGGGTGCTTTAGTTGCAAATCTTAACTGTAAGAAACTGATGATGTTTTAACTGACTGAAGTAATGATTACTGACTTTATATATTTGAATGTGTTGAGTGTATTTTCATCCCGGCCGGGGACGATAGACTTGACATTGTTATGTCATCGCGAATGACGTCATTACCGGTGAACCGTTTTTTTTTTTTTAATTTTCGGAACGAAATGTCCGAAAGAACCAGTTCGCGGAAAAGAACTGAACTTCCCATCACTACAAAATCTCACTCCAGCCAAGTAAGTTGGCAGTACTTTTTAAACACTGCCAGCATATAAGAAATGAGAAAAGGAAAAAAAAACCACTGAAAACTCACCTGGATACTGTCTGAAGAAACCTTTGGCGCTACCAAAGTACTGCCATATGAGAGAAGGGTCTCTTTTAAAGTTATCCACAAACACTGTATTGAGTGCCTCTGACCAGTACACTCCATTCACTATGGCTGAGTCTGCAAAGGAAGTCTGAATGAATTAGACAGAACATTTATAACAATAATTATATATATATATATATATATATATATATGTATGTATGTATGTGTGTGTGTGACAGTAAATTAAAAGTAAATCAGTATCAATCAGTATTCTGAAAACACAATATATTATATATATTTGTATGAAATCTGGCAGCTGCTGTCCAGTCTTGAAGTACATGGTAAAAGTATCCAACACATACCAAACTTAAAATCTGGCTGTGATACATTTAGCAGCAATTACTGCAAACAAACACTTCTGATAACTGGGGAACAGTCTTTTACAGCACTGTGGAGGAATTTTGGCCCACATTACTTTGCAGAACTGCTCAGCCACACCGGAGGGTTTTCGAGCACAAACTACCCGTTTAAGGTTCTGCCACGGCATCTTAACTGGGTTCAAGTCAGGTCTGGGTTCAAGCTTCAACTTACAGGCCGACGACCTACTTTCTCATGCTATGAATTTTCTTTCACCTCTGGCATAATCAGTGTGTCCTGGTCCTTGAATCTGATCGGAAGAGAGGCCTTCCAAGAGTGCTGCTATTTCACCTGTATCAGCATTTGAACTACTAGGTCATGTGACCTACAGTGTGACTTGTTGCGATGCTTCACTACCATTTACAACTCCTATCCTGTGGTCTCATGAAACTGAAATATTCCTGCAAAATCTGAGCTGACAGCTTAAATTCTAAATCACTTTTAGAAGTTTACAGTTGTGAATCAGGGTAAAGGAGACCATTTTAGAACACAAATTTTTATGTACAAGCTAAAAAAAAAACGTCCATACTTCAGCTTTAAGGTGCAGAACAAACAGAAACAGAGAAGATGAAAAATACTCTCACTCGAAATTATTATTCACTAGCCGAGCAGTCCATTGATAAGAGTCCTACCCTGGAGTCTACATTTGCATATGAAAGAGGAAAGAGGGATAGTTCTTAGCAGAATCTTATTCAGTAACCAAGTGGTGCTTTATTCATAAGAAAAGGAAATAATCCTTAAGTGCAAGTAATGCAATGCATTCTGGGTTCCACTTGGGACCCCTTATGCTTGATTTGGTATCCTCCTTCTTCTGATTACACTTTTACAGTGAATATAGTTTTTTTTTTTTATTGAGAAGTCTTCCTCAAAAAGTTAACCTTTGTTTTTAATATTAACATTTTTAGTATGTGAGATTATGATGGATCGTTCCAGTCTTTGATTATGACTGGTTAAGCCACATTCAAAACCATTGTAAAGTACTCTAGAACATCATTAAATCAGTATTATTGCACCTGTGTGTTGTTTGGCAACCATTGTGCTGTTGCTTGGCGAAGAACTATTCTTTTTTATAAATGTCATTACATTTTTGTTGCTGTGTTTATTTAATGAATAAAATACATTTTACAATAAATATTTTCATGAAATAATTTAATTAAATTATTAATTTAAAAGTAACAAGCCCTGCAAAGGGGTGGTTTACAGTGAATTAAGAACAGCTACAATAAGGCATGGCTTCGTGAGGCTCTTTGCTTTAGTATGTGAGACCTTATAAGAATAAATCAAATGATGTAAAACATGCAGATATCTGCCATTTAATTATGACTAGTCAAAATCTAATTTGAGATCTGCTTGGATTACAGTAAAGTTATACATTTCTAGCAGTCAAATAAAAGTTGAACATATATCAAAATATCGTTCTGACTAGTAACAATAAAATTAGAAATAGTAAAACATTTATTTTTAGATCTCAAGTGAAATTGTAAGTGTTGATAATAGCATTACAGATCCTACACTGCCACTTCTCCACCAGTTTCTTGTATTTTGTGCATTTACTTTAATTTGCTTCTTCAATTATTTGCATTTACATTGAATGAAAATGATCAGAAGAATGACTGCAAATTTTAAATCCATTTCTGAGCTCCATAATATTTTGTATTACTACAAACATGTATTGTGGCACCAATGCTAATCTTTTGAGGTGGAGCGTGTGTTTCTGGTTGACATAACAATAATATTTAGTATCTTAAAATGTAATTCTTGCTTAAGCTGAGTTGCAGATTTCCTTCAAAATAATAATTATGGCTAGTAACACTGGGGGATGCAGCTTCACATGATCACAAACAGTGAAACTTTCCAGTGTTGTTATATGAAATATCAGCAGCATTTGGAAACTGCTTGACTAATCAAATCAGAGGACTGGAACTGACCTCTAAACACATGTCTCTATCAACATCCTTTTGATGTACATGTCATCTTACAGTGATGATGTGTCTAGCGTATTTAATGCTGATCATACCTTTGTTGTACATGTTAGTTGGAACCTGGACGACACTGAGGCTGAGGTTTACAGACAGATTGTTGAAATGTTCATTCGGCTGCAAGATGAATTCTCCACCCAGCTCCAAACTCCTGCCCTCCTCATCCATCTCATTGATCAGCACTGCATTAAAGTACTCATACTGTCAAGAAAGAGACAGAATGTAATAAATGACTAGAGTGAGGTCATCACAAATTATTTCGTCTTGATCAAACTCAAAACACACTGTGAAAACTACATGCAGAAATACTTCTTCTGTTTTGGCAGAGCAACTGTCCTCCCTCAGAGACACAGGGTTTGAATGCGGCCCAGCAGTGTGTTGGTTGAGAACAACTGTTAGTCCTTAAATCTTTTAGGTGAATAAATTGTTCATTCACTGTTTACCTCCATGCACTGCCAATTCTCTCACTTGTAAAATAGAAATGAAGGCCTGAACTGGTTCAAAGAGGACAAAGAGAGAATATGTTTGGAAGACATTATCAGGAAACATGAAGTTAGTTTTCGCTGTTATGATAATGATCCTTAGACTTATATTTCCTCAGGACAATAAAACTTTCAATTTTTCCAGGTTAATAGATTTTAGTATAATATCAATATTTGGATGCTTAGTAATTTCCTTTTACTGCATTCTGATAAAACAGGGGTACTAATTATTCAACCAATAATCTAAATGGTTGTCATCTTCCAAGGTTGAGGTCTTGGGTGTAATGTTGGATAGCACTCTTTCATAAGTTCCATAAATATTTCAAATTCATCTCATGATGAGACAGTGAAACAAGAGACTGACAGACCCAGCTGTGGCCTGACCAGATGTCCCACGTCACTGCTACAGTACATGCTGTGACTAACCTCACCCTAAACAGGGTCATAATAACTGGGATCCAGTATAACTTTATCAACCCTGCGAGTCATTGTGTTTGATTGGATATTTTCATTATGCGTGGAAGAGGTTAGTAATGGAGTTTGATCCAACTTTTTTTATTTGAACTATTGGAAATACTGAAAAAGTTATATCAAAGATTGGTGAACATGCAGATTTTGCTAGCCGAGCCAGTGGACAGTGCTGTTAAAGAGGCCGTTGTTGTGTTGCTGGTGGCCGATGAGAAGCCTCTTTGACCTCAAAAGGCCCAAAGAGATGTGATCACTGCTACTTCAGTCAAGGTTGATAAGTTTGGATTGTGATGCTGTAAAAGCTGCTCTGCTACGGGCTTATGAGTTCCATTCACTTATCGCAACACAATAAAAGACTTTTTGTATATGGAGTCAAAAGATTCTGTGATGGCTCAAAATACCCTCTACTAACATTCTACCCTGTCGGTAACACTTTATAACAACGGCATGCTATGAATCATTAGTTAAGCATTAGTAATAGTCAGTTTATCATTTATAAAGCATCGTCCCTACATTAATATACATTAGTAAGCACTTTATAAATGCAGCTATAAATGCTTTCTTCTTGATTTATGAGCACATCTATAATGTTTTTAATAATTCTACTTTCATAAATTATTATTGCTCAATATATCATTTCTAAATTAAGTATTACATTATTTACAAACCAGTAAGGAATGGTTAGTGGTTCATAAGATCATTAAATCATCAGAGTAAACTCACTTATTGTAAAGCGAGACGCACAAAAGCGCGTACACAACTTTCATCTCTCTCTCTCTCTCTCTCGAGAATTGACAATATTTGAGAAAAGGATTTAGCGATTTCTAATTGTTGGGGGACTAGCCCTCCTCAATGTCTACGGTGGTTATCGTCCTGATCAGACATGAAAATATGTTGTGGCACTATCGTGCAGTCTGTAATGATATGACGTTTGCAAACATTTCTTTGAATAACATGACCGTAAATATGAACTCACGATTGAATGTAACATAAAACAAATGATTACTTTTCATTAAAATCTTTATTAATGGCAAAAATGCTTAGATTTATGTGTCTTTTTGTTCGCTTGGGCAGCCATGTTGCCGCTGAAGCCGGTTTACGCTGAGATAATTCATACCCCTTCGTTTGAAGTGTGGTCCTGAAAAATCTTCGTTTGAAGGGCTGTCTGGCCCTTCCCCTTACCCCTACCCCTCCAACCAAAAGAGAATCGAGACTCCCCTACCCCTTCACGTGAACGCGCCAAATGGAGGGGTAGGGGAAAGGGGAAGGGCTGAGGGGTAGAATTGGGATTGGGCCTTAAGCCTCTGCAATCTGATATAAAAATAAATTATTGATCATTTGTTGGATATATTTGTTTTTCTATTGCAGCTAATTTTGAGTCTTCAGTTTGAAATGTAGAATGTATTTAAAATTTGGCAACACTAAGATTTTATGTGGAATTTTGGCACTTTTTTGTGACTCACTGTTTGCACTGAATTTTCACTCAGCCATGAAACTGAAACAAGAAAACCTTCTTATGACACCAAAATATTTTGCATATTTTCTTAATTTTGTTGGTTTTTGTTAGTTTTGTTGCTAATTTTGTTGACGTATATTCCTTTTGTTGTTACTTTTTATTTATATTTACTTTCTTGCTTATTTTTTATTTTATTTTATTTTTTTTTTTCATTTTGTTGCGTATTTAATTCCTTTTTTATTTTCATATGATATTGCAGAGGTTTATATTTCAAGTGTACAGCTGTACAGTTTCATTTTTTGCATCTTCAAACACACACACATAAATACACATATATATGTTCTGTATTACTCTGTGTTGTGTTTGTTTCCTAAGCCTTTAAATCTTCTTTGTAAAAGCTTTACATGGCATAAATAGTCTTCACTTTAGATGAGCTCATGAAAATAGTTAACTGACAACTACTAAATATTTTATAACTAGCTGAATTAATCATGAATTACAGTAGGAATATGTGTTAATAAAGCATTTATTTCCACACTATTACTATATTTCTAAATTATATGTATAAATGTACATTTAAATAATTTGTTAATCATTACTTACACTTTCTAAATGATCTTATGAACCACTGATGACAACTAAATACTGTTTTTGAAATAATGTAATACTTAATTTAGGAATGATAAATTGATCAGTAATAAATTATGAAAATACAATTATTAAACACATTATAGATATGCTCATAAATCAAGAACAAAGCATTTATAGCTGCATTTATAAACTGCTTACTAATTGTCTATTGATGTAGGGACAATCCTTTATAAATGATGAATTGAATATTTACGAATTCTTAACCTTCAAATGGTCCTCGTTTAATGTTTACACTTATGGTCTTTGGGGTCAATATGACCCCAAAATTGAGAGAGCAATTGTAAAAAATATATACATTTTTAATCATACAAATGATATATCTTTTTTTGTTGTTGTTTCTCATCTATACATTAATGCTGTGTTTTGGGAGATATGAAGTACTTTTGTTCATATTTACCACAGAATTCCACAACTACGCCATTAGCTTGCATGTGAAGTATTCAATTTTTATGAAAAAATCACTTAAATGATGATCTAAATTTAATTTCAGTTGTTTCTGGATATTGATCTAGGTGTTGGTTGTAGAATTCTGCCATCTGTTGGTTAGAGATTACTACAGTTTAGGAAAGAAATTGTTTTGACCAGCATAGGGCCATAGAGAGCCATTCATTTTACTGGATGTGGCCAACTGCTCTTATAACTTTTGTGATACATTTTGTGAATTTATGTATATATAAACATTAGAAAAGACATTTAAAATAAATATTCTTTCAAACAGTAGATTTTTTTTGTAGTTTTTGATGCATTTTGAAATGTCTGTTTTTACAAAAATGCCACAGAAATTTGACAGAAAAATGCCACATAAGACACACCTAAAGGACAAGACTTAGAGTCAGTTTGTAGTTGCATATTATTGATTTTATGGTAATGAACCAAGTGTAAAAAAACAATAATTAACTTTAGAATGTAGAAGAAATTAAATAATATATAAATAAAGCCAACAGCAATATGCAGAAATCAACAGGAGTGAAGAGTGAACATCAAATAACAATAAACATTTTTACAATCACATTCTGTGGCAATCATTCCTGTGTGTGTGTGTGTGTGTGTGTTGTGTCTGGCAACCCCGCCTCCTAATCAGGGTTCACCTGAAGCCTATCTGGGCTGCCTTTATCTGGCTCGCTGTTTCACGGTCCTTTGTCAGTTCGTTGTCTCGCTCACCACTGTTTGTTCTCTCCTAGAATCCTAAGTGTGTTCTGTGTGACCGTGCTCCGGTCCTGCTCGGCCTTTTTGTTTCCCATTGGCCTGACTCCTGCTCTCGGACTGGGTTTCTAAGAGCTTGGCTGTCTCTCTCGGATTCGGGATCTCCTGTGTGTTTCCATATACTGTGAATTCAATTAAAAAAAAATTCACTCGCAGTTGGATCTGAGCCTTGATTACGGG